CAAGAACAACAACAACAACAACAACAACAACAACAACAACAACGACAACGACAACGACAACGACAACGACAACAACCACAACCACAACCACAACCACAACCACAACCACAACCACAACCACAACCACAACCACACCAACAACAACAACAACAACCACAACAACAACAACAACAACAACAACAACAACAACAATCATTTTACCCGAACGCTCAGTGTTCTCACCAGTGCCAGGGTTTTCATGCGACGCGAGACAATACCCCCACTTCGTGGGGGGGCAGTTCAAGCTCTACCAAATATCCAAACGACTCTTCGCGACCACCCAAACCCAGCTTCCCGCCCTATGACGTTGGGACACTTCACTTCGTGGCGTGCGGACGACCGTGGCTACTACACTGGCGTGGGGTACACACCCACAGAACTTGGTCACTTATTCGGGGCGCGCGTGTGCCCAGCATCCTGCAATTGTGACATACAATACATGACACAGACAGACAGAGAGAGAGACAGAGAGCAGACAGAGAGAGAGACAGAGAGAGCGGAGTTGGTCACATTTTTGGGGCAAGTTCCTGAGATCGTCGTGTTTTTTGTTGGTCTTGCGCGCGCGAATGTCCACTTTACTTTTTTTGCAAGGGAATATTGATTATGTTAGAACAAGAAAAAGTAGCTCGCGCGAGCTCATGTAACATAAATGTTGAAAAACCATTGGTTTTGTGGGAGTCGGACAGCGCGCGCGGGATGAAATTTGGACATTTTTTTTTGAAAAACCATTGGGTTTTTGATGTTTTTATGTTGAAATCGTTACGAAACCTAAGGTTCTGGAAGGATTTCGTCTTGCGCGCGCGAATGTCCACTTTACCTTATTTTTTGCAAGGGATTATTGAAATTTGATTATGTTAGAACAAGAAAAAGTAGCTCGCGCGAGCTCATGTAACATAAATGTTGAAAAACCATTGGTTTTGTGGGATTCGGACAGCGCGCGCGGAAGGACATTTTGACAATTTTTTCTTAAAAAACCATTGGGTTTTTGATGTTTTTATGTTAAAATCGTTACGAAACCTAAGGTTTTGGAAGGATTTCGTCTTGCGCGCACGAATGTCCACTTTACCTTATTTTTTGCAAGGGATTCTTGCAATTTGATCAATAAGAACAAGAATTTTCATTTTATAGTGTTTTTTGCAAGGGAAAACGGGGGGGAACAAAACAACCGGATCCGGACATAATCCACTTTTCTGAAGCTTCTGCGAAAAAATGATGAAAATGTAGCTGCGGCCTAGGTTTTGGAGGGGGGTCGCGCACCAGGGGTCCCAACAATAATTATTCTTAAGAAGAAATAATGTTCAACAACAACAACAACAACAACAACAACAACAACAACAACAACAACAACAACAACAACAACAACAACAACAACAACAACAACAATAACGATGACGACGACGACGACAACAACCACAACAACAACAACAACAACAACAACAACAACAACAACAACAACAACAGCAACAACAACTTATCCCGACAAAGCAACCTAAAAACGATGTTTAGGAGCATATCTGGAAGCATTCCCCTTAAGATTCAGATGATAATCCAGCTGTAGAATTCTGCTGTTCTCGCAGTCGTAGTCGCATTCGCGATGACAGTCGCAGTGGCCTGCATCAGCCTCAGCCTCAGCCTCAGTCTGCCTCACCATCAGCCTCAGCCTCAGCCTCAGCCTCAGCCTCAGCCTGCCTCAGCCTCAGCCTCAGCCTGCTTCAGCCTCAGCCTCAGTCTGCCTGCAGCCTCGGCCTCAGCCTCAGCCTGCCTCAGCATCAGCCTGCCTCAGCCTCAGCCTCAGCCTCCTGCTCAGCCAGCCTGCCTCAGCCTCAGCCTCAGCCTCGGCCTCAGCCTGCTCACCATCAGCCTCAGTCTGCGTTTCAGCCTCAGCCTCAGCCATCAGCTCAGCCTCAGCCTCAGCCTGCCTCAGCATCAGCCTGCCTCAGCCTCAGCCTCAGCCTGCCTCAGCCTCAGCCTCAGCCTGCTTCAGCCTCAGCCTCAGTCTGCCTTCAGCCTCGGCCTCAGCCTCAGCCTGCCTCAGCCTCAGCCTCAGCATCAGCCTCAGCCTCAGCCTCAGCCTGCCTCAGCATCAGCCTGCCTTCAGCCTCAGCCTCAGCCTCAGCCTCAGCCTCAGCCTCAGCCTCAGCCTGCCTCAGCCTCAGCCTCAGCATCTGCGCCTCAGCTCAGCCTCCTCAGCCTCAGCCTCAGCCTGCAGCCTCAGCCTCAGTCCTTCAGCCTCGGCCTCAGCCTCCGCCTGCCTCAGCCTCAGCCTGCAGCCTCAGCCTCAGCCTCAGCCTGCCTCAGCATCAGCCTGCCTCAGCCTCAGCCTGCCTGCCTCAGCCTCAGCCTCAGCCTGCTTCAGCCTCAGCCTCAGTCTGCCTTCAGCCTCGGCCTCAGCCTCAGCCTGCCTCAGCCTCAGCCTGCATCAGCCTCAGCCTCAGCCTCAGCCTGCCTCAGCATCAGCCTGCCTCAGCCTCAGCCTCAGCCTGCCTCAGCCTCAGCCTCAGCCTGCTTCAGCCTCAGCCTCAGTCTGCCTTCAGCCTCGGCCTCAGCCTCAGCCTGCCTCAGCCTCAGCCTGCATCAGCCTCAGCCTCAGCCTCAGCCTCAGCCTCAGCATCAGCCTGCCTCAGCCTCAGCCTCAGCCTGCCTCAGCCTCAGCCTCAGCCTGCCTCAGCCTCGGCCTCAGTCTGCCTTCAGCCTCGGCCTAAGCCTCAGCCTGCCTCAGCCTCAGCCTCAGCCTCCGCCTGCCTCAGCCTCGGCCTGCCTCAGCCTCAGCCTCAGCCTGCCTCAGCCTCAGCCTCAGCCTCAGCCTCAACCTGCTTCAGCCTCAACCTCAGACTGCCTTCAGTCTCGGCCTCAGCCTCAGCCTGCCTCAGCCTCAGCCTGCATCAGCCTCAGCCTCAGCCTCAGCCTGCCTCAGCATCAGCCTGCCTCAGCATCAGCCTCAGCCTGCCTCAGCCTCAGCCTCAGCCTCAGCCTGCATCAACCTCAGCCTCAGTCTGGTTTCAGCCTCGGCCTCAGCCTCAGCCTGCCTCACCCTCAGCATCAGCCTGCCTCAGCATTCAAAATGTAGCCCGGGAATGGAATTGTGGGAACTCGAAGAACACGAAATGGCCTACAGTTGGCTCTGGGCATTCGAAATCACGCCCAGGAATGGAATTCTGGGAACTCGAAAACCACGAAGTGGCCTACAGTTGGCTCCGGGCATTCAAAATCATGCCCAGGAATGGAGTTCTGGGAACTCGAAGACCACGAAATGGCCTACAGCTGGCTCCGGGCATTCAAAATCATGTCCATGAACGGAGTTCTGGGAACTCGAAGACCACGAAGTGGCCTACAGTTGGCTCCGGGCATTCAAAATGTGGCCCGGGAATGGAGTTCTGGGAACTCGAAGACCACGAAGTGGCCTACAGTTGGCTCCGGGCATTCAGACCGTGGCCCGGGAATGGAGTTTTGCGACCTCGAAGACCACGAAGTGTGCAACTGTTTGCTTAAAACAGCTTCCGCGGCTTCTCCCTGGCACCCGCCCAGACCCCCCTGGGGAGTCAAGATGCTCTCTTTTGACGCTAGTAGAAACCTATCAGTCTTCGCTGTCAGGTAAAAAACGCAACAATCGCGCCCGCGCGTTTTCTTCCCGCCCCCCGGGTTGCGGCGAAGGGGGTTGGGGGGGTCCCGCGCGCGTTCCCGCCGCCCGCGCCCCAGCGCTCCCCCCCGCACCTTCCTCGTCTGCGACCAGGGAAAAAGGCTGGACCTGGGCCCCCCACCCGGCGCACCCCCCCTCAAAAGGGAGAGGTCGCCCTGGGTCGCCTGGGCGGAGATGCCGCTCTGCAGCTGGGCGATCGGGGCCCCGCCCCGCGACTGGAGCAACGCTTCGCTGCGCGGCGGGGGGCTGCGGCGCGCGAACCACGCCGCGCACTGCGGCGCCGCTGCGTCACACGGGGGGGGGGCAGCACTGCGCGATCTCTGAACGGAGGTCGTGCCCGAGATGTTGGAGCAGCGCCCCCGTGCCCGTGCACGCACATGATCGGCAGTCAGCTCGGCTCGGAGGAGCCCCGCATGGGGACGAAACGTCAGCCTGGCGCCGACAAACTACCTGCATCAGGGTGCTTTCCTCGCCCAGCTTGGTCGTCGGCTCCTCAGGACGAGACCCTGGATGCGGAGGCCGACGCAGACGCAACCGACGCCGACGACGACAACGACGACGACGACGACGACGCCGACGACGACGACGACGACGCCTTGATTGCCTCAACTCGATCGCGAAATGGGTGGCGCCTCACTGCGCGACTGGTCACGTGGCGCGGGCGCGCCACGTCGCGCGCGGCGGCGCAGCTGCGTCGCCATGGCGGCGGCCTCGCGCGGGGGCCCGGCCCCACCAGGCGGGGGCACCGCGCCGCGCGGCCGGGCGCGCGCGGGGGCCTCGCGAGGGGGCCTCGCACGGTGCCGCCGCGCACGCGCGGCGCGTCGGAGGAAGACTGGCTCCGCGAGCTTCGCTGCGGTCCACGCCCCGCGCCTGCCTCCGCGCGCCAGGACGCTGCTCGCGGTCGCGGGGAAAGCTCCGTGCGGAATTCAAGTGGCGTCCGCGAGAGCTCTCTCAAGATTCGACAGACTCCCCAGGGGCTTAGTGGGCCCTGGAAACGACAGGGCACGTTTTCCCCCGGTCCCGTTTTGCCGTTTTTGATGCCGGATCCGACGCCGTTTTTCTACCGCTTCCGTCGCCGTGTTTTTACCGGTTCCGGCTCTGGTTCCAATCCTGGAGCAACTTTTTCGCGTTTCTGGTCGCCGTTACTTTGCCGTTTCCACTTTCGAAAGACACTTTTTCGGAAACAGCCCCAAAAAACGGCCCTGCCGTTTCCGGGGCCCACTGAGCCCAGGGGGTCCTCAAGTGTCCTTCGAGAGCCTCGGTTTCCCATAGGTTTTCTGGAAAATGCTCGAGGTTTCCTGAAATTTCCTCGTGAATTCGGAAGGCTGCTAGCACATAATTTATTCCTCCCGGTCCCCATGGAATTCCCTCTTGTTGCCTTAGATTAGGTTGCCCGACACTTCCGTGAGAGGCCCCTCAAAAATGCGATGGGCAACTCCCGGAAATTCTAACATTCCGGAAGATCCACGCAGGTTCTGCCGAAATTCCGGTATTATCAGCGGGGAGCCCCCAAGAGCCCATCACACTCGGGAGACCCGCCAGGCAATCTCCGCAGGGAGCCAGGCCTCCTGACAAGTTTTCGAGGAGCCTTCCCCGAGGACATGGAGAGAACCTCTCAGAGTGCCAGAGGCCTCCTGAGACGTCCCGCCGCCTTCTGAGAAGGCCTCCTGCTTCTCACACTTCCAAGAGAGCCCAAACTCGAATCGATAAATCGAATCGGCAATCGAAACGAATCGGATCGACGGAAATCGGCAGCCGAGTCGGGAGAAGTCGAGTCGGCAGAAATCGGCAGGCTAGAAGGCCTCCATTGAGAAATCGGAGCCCGAACCGGAATCCAAAATCGAAGCGAATCGGAATCGGAATCGATCAGAGTCGAATCGAATATCGAGACGAGCCCTGCAGTTCCCCCCCCATCGCTCGCCGCCGAAGAAGGGCGAGGCAGCGCAGCAGCGGCACAGCCGCCGAGCGGGACCCTAGCGCCCGAGCCGAGCGAGCGCAGCTGGCTGCGGCGCGGCCCGAACCGACCGGACCGCGAGCGGGCCACAGGGGGGGCAACCCTCCGGACCCTCGCCGCTTGGCCCCTTCGCCCTCGCCCTGTTCGCAGGGGCCCGTCGCTGCCGGCCGTGCGCCTCAGGACGGGAGTAATGTCCTCCTCCTCCTCCTCCTCCTCCTCCACCTCCTCCTCCTCCTCCTCCCTTGGCTCATGACACGCTCCCGGATATCCAGGGCATCTAGCGGCCCTCGTTCTCGCAGCCCGTGTGGAGCACTGGGAGATCGAGGAAGACCAAAATATCTTGTAGATCTTGCAGCACATCATCAGAGCACGGGGGCCGAACTGTCACTCACTCCCGGGGTGCGTGGCTGAAGTGGGCTTCCGCGAAGCGGATTGTTGTTGCGTTGATGCGTTGCGTTGTTGCGTTGTTGTCGTCGTCCTCGCCCGCGACCCGCCCGCGACCCACCCACGATCCAACCCGCGACTACCCCGCGACCCACCCTGCGACCCACCCTGCGACCCACCCGCGACCCACCCGCGACCCACCCTCGTTGTTATGACGAACACATGGGCGCCTGCGGCGCGTTCACTGTGCAATGTGAAAGAAATCGGCGCCTGCGGCGGGCTTCTTCAGAGCTTCGCAGACTGCCGACGACCCCACCGCCCCCTCACTCGTATCCGCAGTGGTGGGGGTGCCATGTTGTCCTGGCCTCGTACCCCTGCGACCATGGCCCATGTGGCCCCCACGCTTGTACAGTACCCCAGCGCGCCCCCCCACAACATCAGCGGCGCCAGGGCGGCCTGCAGGAGGCCTCCCCGCAGGCTGGGCGGGGAGGGCTGCGGGCATCGAATTTCTACGCTGCGAGCTGCAAGACGAAGCCGTCGTGGGCTGCCAGAGGCGTCGCTGGCCCAAGGTGCCCCCAGCACTTCGCTCCATTTCTGAGCCCTCAGGACCCTCTGGGCCTCGTGAGGGGTGCTCTGGAGGCCATCTGGGCCTCCCTGGAGGTCCTGGGGACACCGTGGGCCAGTGGCACTGCTGGCAGCACCCGACGAGGGCAGGATGAAGAGAACGTCGGATGATGAAGGTAAGATCGGTCATCTCCGAGAGCTGCCAGGCCTGAGGGATGCACCGGGCGCCGCTGCCGTTTCAGGGCGCTCCGAAATCCTTTGAGAGCGATCAGGAACATCCTAAGAAGAAGAAATGAAGAACTGCATACACCTAAACACTCGTGGCTCCGCGCGGAGTTTTTGGATCGGCGCTGGAACCTCCTTCCTGGCGAGCAGAGCGGTCCAGCACCGACCCGAGAACTCCGCACCGAGCTCCGGAAGTTTATTTTTATGCAGTGCTCTGTGCCTCGATTCCTACTCCGAGCTTCTTAGTAAGCGTCGGGGGGGCGTCACCCACGCCGACAGCCCCACATCGACCCCTGTCGCGGCAGCCGCCGCGCGCCGAAGGCACTCCGACCCCCGTCACGGCGCGACGACGAGGCGAGGGTGACCCCCGTCGGGGGGGGGTACCCCCCACGCTTATCAAGAAACCCAAAGTAGAGCGGGTAGTTGTCCTCATCCTGGGCATGCCCGTCGGCTGCTTGCTGGCCCGCACACCTGCCGGCGCGAGAGTCAGCAGGTGGGAAACTAATCGGGCCTGGCAAGCGTGCACGGAAGGCACCCGGGCACCGTGCCGCGTGCCCCGAGCCGGCGCCATCCCGGGCCCTGGCACGGGGCACACACGCCCTCCAGGCCGAGGCCGACGACGACGACGACGACGACGACGACGACGACGACGACAAGGACGACCGCGACGACCACGACCACGACCACGACCACGACC